GGCATAAAACTTATCACAATGTTCTTATATCTTTCTTAATTGCTGCAAAATCTGTATTAATATTCCCTTTCATTCTTAATACTGTTTGTGTATGATGTTAATGATTAATTACTCTTTGTAGTTCTGTCAATTATACTTCATCAGTTTTACTTTTTGAAGCAAGTTTATCTGGTACATACAAGTTTAGAATTTTTCTGGTGATTTGAGTCTTTTTTTGAAAATATGGTGGCCAGCTTTATTTTCAGTAATACTTTTTGCTTACAGTTCACTTTGTCTGCTATTAATATAGCTACTTAGATTTCTTTTGGTTGGCATTTGTCCAGAATGTTTTATTTTTCTTTCCTTATACTTTCAACATTTTTGTTTCCTTAAGTCTGGCTCTTGTAAAAATACTTCTTTGGATTTAAAACATCAAATCTAACCATCTGCATTAAAAAAAATTGATCAGCTTATCCGACCTACAGGTACAGTGATTACCAATATATGTTGACTAATTTCTTCAGCGTGATCCTGTGTTTTATATTTGACCCATCTTTTATAAAATTCCCCTCTGTCTTTTCTTGCTCTGTTTTAAACTGCCTTTTCTCTCATTTTCTTTCCTTCTTACCATATGGAATGTCAATCCCTTTGTAAAAATTTTTTACCATGCATATTTAACTTAATAACGTCCACAGGCATGAAGCCCTTCCTCCTTTTCTTAGCTTGCCATCCATGCCAAGTGTACGTTGGGTTGAGACACTAAGCTGGATTCCCACACTCAGTAGAATCTATTACATTACACACATTTAGGGATACTAGTAGGTTCAATATTCCTTGACTCCCTTCATGGCCCTATGGCTCATCTTGTCCCTGAGCCCTGACACTTAAGGCTAGGAGGTGTTAATGGGGCTCCAAGAGAGCACGTAATAGTGTCTGTCACTCAGTAAGTGCTTATGGTAAACATCTCATTTCCACCCTCCCATCATCAACCCCCCTTCTCTGAGTAATAGCACCTTGACTTTTCTTGGGGATCCAAAGTTCCCCACTCTTTGTCTGTGTGGGTGAAGTGGGGTTGACCTCTTATTCACTGGCCTGCCTCTGGGTCTGGGTACAGAGGCAGACACATGACCCAATCCAGCCAATCAAACTTAAGCCTGGAATTTTCTGTTGGAACAGGAAGAGAGGGATGTATTTTCCATGAGGGCTGCTAAGACGGTAAGATGTGCTGCTGGTGGCACCACGGCAAGACTAACTGAAAATGAAGGCAACACAGGGTGAAACTGAGTTGAAAACTGGAGAAAGACAAATTTATGATGGCATCTGAGCACTTGAATCCAGCTTAAAGCTACACTTAGTTTCTTCAATTCTATAAGCCAATTCTGTACCTCCACCAAGCCCAGACTCTTTTAACTGGGTTTTTACTACTGGCCGTTAACACTGTCCTGACTAACAACATTCCTAAATAAATGTTCTTTGAATCTGAATCTCAGTCTTTCCACAGGGGGATGCTATTATATGATCAGCCACCAG